GCTTCCGCCTGTTCCGCCCATTCCTCCTCCTGAGGAATCATCGTCATCGTCGTCGCTGCTGCGCCGACCCTCCCATGCGAACTCGCCCCTAGTGTCCTGCTCCAGGATTGCTGCAGCGGCTTCGTCTTCAGGAGTTGCGTAGCTGTGGCCGTCATTCGCGTAGACGCGATTTGCGTTCGTCTGTTCGTCATGGCGGAACTGCTCGAGGAAGAGGCGTTCGTAGAAGATCACGTCGCGAGCGTGGGCGGTCTTCTGACTGAGGAGCTCCAGCACGATCCACGCTTTGTACTCGTGACTGATGCCGAGATGAATGCCCCAACGCGCGCGGCTGGCGAATTTGCCGATGGTTGACGTCGGCGGGCGGTATTGAACCATGCACCCCCATACGCGGAGCATCGATGTATCCCCCTTCGTTCCAGTCCATTTGACATGCGGGGACAGATTGCCGGTGATGGCAGTGGTTGAAAGCAGATTATGCACCCGCACGGCGTGGTGCATTGCGTAGGTCCAGTAAATCGGCGGCAGCTTCGACTGCTTCATCAGTGCCCGCACCTTCGTCATCAGCGTGCGGTTCGTCCGTTCGGCTACGCCCTGCTGCTGGTGTGCGTAGGGGAGAGAAATGTGGTGCTCGATCCCCTTTTGTGCGAGGTAATTCTGCATCTGGTTGCTCCTGAACTCCTTTGCGCCGTCAGATTGCCAGATTTTCAGCTTCTCCCCAGATTGCCTCTGCGCGTGCGCCAGCCAGAGGCGGAACACCTCGTAGGCTCTGTCGCGGGTTTCGACGTTCACGACCCACACATAGCGTGTCCCAGCGTCGATGAAGGTAAGCGTGTACAGTTCGTCCTCGACTCCGCAGTGGCCTACGTTCAGGAAATCGCTGTACACCTTGTGCAGCTTGGGGTAGCGGTTTGTCCCTGGCTCGAGCAGCGGGAACGGCTGGTGGCTGAGCGCGGCTTCGGGGCAAATGGTGCAGTTGCGCGGATGTGTCGCGCCTCTTACTTCGGTGCCGTCTGGGCGCAGGAGCGCTCCTGGAGCGAAGACGCCAGCGTCGATGCAGTTTTTCAGCGTCGCGCGTGAAGGATGTCCGAGGCGCTGGTGCCAGAGGGCATCGTCAGCGCGAAAGCCGGAGGTGCGCATGTAGCGCGCGCGAGCTTCCTCAGGGTCTTCGTCGGACACAGGGGCAGGTTCTGCTGCTGCTGCTTCTGCTGCTTCTTCTTCTCCTTCGTTGGCGGTGGTCAACATTAGCGCCAGAAACTCTTGGTCACGAATCTCAGAGAGAGGGATATTGGTCCCAGGGATGGTTCCAAGGACGAAGGTGGGCTCGCGCGGCTCGGGAGCGGGTCCGTAGACAGTGCGGCGCGGGGTTGAAGGTTCGTTGCCCCAGTCGATGGTGTCCCAAGGGTCACGACCTGGCGGGATGTCTGCAGGGGGAAGTGCAGGAGTAGGACGAAGCGGGGGACGACCGAGAGGGACCACAGGAGGTTCGGTCTCAATGACCTCCCCAATGGTTTCTTCTTCCCCCCTTTGGTCCTCGCGGAAGGCGCCCCAACCGCTCGTCTCGCCGCCAGAGGCGGCGCCCCATCCGCCAGGGTTACTGCCGGTGTCTGGTCCCCAGTCGCCAGTTGCGGCTCCCCATCCGCCGGTGGCACCGCCAGTGTCGCTCGTGCCCCATCCGCCAGCGCTTCCCCACCCCCCTTCATTGGAGGCGCCCTCGTTGTCGCCCCATCCGCTCCAGGCGAATGTCCCGCGTGACTCCGCAAGACTCCGTAGGCGAAGTTCGTCTGCTTCGCGTCGCGCCAGATCTTCTTCCTGTGCGATGGTGATGTGCTTCGTGGGATCGCGCTGATGAGGGTAGATTTCCAGGAATTTCTCGTGCGTGTAGGGTCGCGCGTTTCCTTCCGCATCGAAGGTGCCAACGCCAACGCCACGCAGCATTCCGCGAAGGTGTTGTGATGCAGGTCCTGGGAGGGGAGCTTCCTCCGTTCCGAAGACGATGCGCGTGGCCGTCTCAAGTTCCAGGTGAGACAGTCCTTCTTCAGGCGGTGCTTCCCGCTCTGCTTCGGCGATGGCGGCAAGGCCACGGCCGGCGATCGCGCTCGTTGAGGCTGTAGGCGTGTGGCAGTCTCTGCAGATGCCGTCGGGATCGGGATCATGCAGCGCCGTTTCGCGTGGGTGGGGATGATGCGGCACCCACGGTCTGCCGTCAGGGTGCTTCCAATCCCTGTGGTGAATGTGCTCGAAGCGTAGTGGCACGAGATCGATTAGCTCGTGCGAGTCGCCGCTGCAGTCGGGGATGTCGAAATCCAGGACATACACTCCATTTTCGGAGTGGGCTCGTCCGATCTGCCTGCGGGGGAAGGTTTTTGATTCGTAGTGCAGCAGAATGTCGCGCGTCGCGCGATCCGTGCTGAGGTCAACGCCACAGTCCATGAGCTGTGCGGCGGAAAGCAGGTTGAAGCGCAGGTTCTGGACGATCAGCACATCGTTGAGCGTGATGTGCGTGCGACTTCCGCGTGCTTTGAGCACCACGATGCCTTGCGCGCTTGCGCGCAGGCGAGTATTGTTAGCCACGGTGACGTAAGTGACTGTGGGGGTGGCAACGGCGTTGGATATGTAACGCTCGGAGCCCACCATATGCTGGCCGCAGCAGCTGTCCAGATACCAAGTGTTGTAGCGCTTGTTGTCGTCACGTGCGAGCAGCGCCAGTCGCGGCGTGACGATGTGTGGGGCGTCGAACTTCAGAAATTGCTCGCGCGAGAGCCAGTCAAGTGGCGCCACCCGCATATCGAGTACATGCGGAGGACTTTCAAGCAGCGGGACTGGCAGATTCCAGTCCTGGTCGTCGTCGTCGGTGAAGTCGCGGCGCGGACTGAACGGGTTGTTGTTGGTGAACGCGACGATGGGGTGCGGTGCTGGTTCAGGTGAGGGTGACCGCACGCGGCGACGATGCGACTCGCCTGTCATGGCCATGTTGCTCATGACATTGCGTACTGGGGCAGTCGATGACGGCTGCTGCTGCTGATGCTGAACTGCTGAGTTCAGGTTGCGCGCGGATGGGGGTTGATACCCCTGGGCTGGACGCACGTCGCCTCGTGCGTCTTGTCGGCCGGACCAGGTGCTCGGATTGGTCTGGCGAGGGCGAAATCGGAACTTGCATCGATCCGCCAAGTGCCCGAAGTTTCTGCAAACTTTGCAGTAGAGGCGCCGCGGCTTTCGCTCTTCGTTGTTATCGGCGTAGAAGGCGAGCCGTTCTCGTTCTCGTCGTGGCGCTGGTCGCTGCTGATCCATATCCCGTTGTTCGACGAGAAGGGCGGCGCAAAGGGCGGCCTCCGAGATGACCCCCTGCTGTCGAAGAAGCGCCTTGCAGGGCCGCCACTCTGGGCCGAGCCCTTGAAGCACGATGTTTACGAAGATTCCCTCCGAAATCGAGCTTCCCATCCTTAGCTGCGGTCGGGAGTGTACAATGATTCTTCATTCAGTGCTATTCGTAACACTACACAGACGCAACCCAACACATATACATCCAATTTTGTAGTGGGTTAGATGTGCGCAAAATATGAAAACCAACTACGTAACAAACAAAGCCCGTCTTATCTCATTCATGGATGCAACGGATGAAACCTGGTTCCCACAGTCTTGCAACACTTGATTCATCAATTCCTTGGTACCACAATCGGGTGAGACCCGGGAACTGCTATTTTCCATGTCTAAGAGATGGGATCATGGGAGGTGGGATCATAGGATCACGGGACCGAGCATTGTTGACAAGTGTGAGTCGAATAGGTAGGGCAAGAGAGGAGAGGGGCCACTAATGGGGCCACAGCCACAAGACACAGACCCCAATGAACCTCAAGGGCTGAACCTGCAGTTGGGGGTGAACCTGAGGGGCTGTATGGCTTTGGGGAAGGTGAATGTGAACCTGATGGGTTGACCTGGAGTTTTGAAGGAGGCTCTATGGCTTTTGAGCTGGGCCCCCACTAGTAGCAATAAACGCAGGGTGATACCAAGCATAGAAGAGCACCAGACAAAGACCAATTTGGCAAGACGAGCAGATAGAAAGAAAACAATAAAGGTAGGTGGGGGTCCAGAGAGGGCAAAGCAAACTCAACTAGCACTCTATTTTGTCGGTAACAGAGTATGTGCTCACGTTATACATATACACTTGGATATTGGTTATTGTATCGGCTGTGAGCTGCAATGTTTGGAATGCAAGAAAACTGCAACATTCAATGTATGAAACAAGACCTGAATGAAGCTACTCCAGACCAGAATGAGGTAGATTGCTCTTCCTCCCATACTACCCTCGTTTGAGTTCAGCAGTACACTCATCGATTTCCCAAGCCTAGACTCTGGCGGAAGCTCCCTTCCCCACCACTATTCCTCCTCTCCCAGCTCGCCCCACTACACTCCCTTTGCCTGGCCTCACCGTTCTGTCCGCAAATGACGGATTCCTGGAGTCACGTTTCTCAGAGCGATATTCCGAGTTGAGCCAAAAGTAAGCGGACGAATGGCTGCATTGTACAGTACGCCATACGCAGCAGTCGAGCCTGTTGAGATTATCCACCTCGAAGAATCCACGCATTCAGGTGAAAGCGATATGGTAACCACTCGGACGCGTCAAGTTAGTAGACGCTCGTGCTTACCGCAATGCACATCTTAGACCCTTCGGACGCTTCGCTTCTAGCTTATAGCGCGTACAAGGTCGTGCTGGAGCGATGTAGGAGGGGTAGGACTCGAGAGCACTCCCATGGTTGAATCGCGTGCGAGCTCGCAGTGACCGCCGCGCAGCATGGTAGAACCGGCCTTACGTGCGGGGGACTGGCGGGTTTTAACCCTAAACCAGCGACGTCTCATAGTAGCTCGTACTGACCGCCGTGTCGCATTCCGAAGCCGTTTGCCCGGCTTTAAGTCGTAAGGACCGCCATGTAAGATTCCGAAACCGTCTACGTGGCACAAACTGGTAGAAGCTCGTGCTGACCGCCATGCACCGTTCACCCTCCATGCCAGCTGCCGCATATGGCGGAGCCACGTCATCGTTGTCCACGTCACCAACTCCAGATCAAGCAGACGGCCTTTCTTACGTCAGTCCTGCCGGCATTGACGTCACTGGAACTCGTTCGGACCCCTCATCCATATCAAACTTCTCGCGAACCTCCACCGGACCTCCGCTCTCCCGAACCTCCACCGGACCTCCGCTCTCCCGAACCTCCACCGGACCTCCACTCTCCCGAGTCTCCAGCGGGGGCTTGAGCAGCAACAGCTGGACCGGCGTGGCGCCTTGGGACTGGCCGGAGTCTCTGGCGCCCGCTTTTGTGGCGGGAGCTGCGGGCGGCGGAGGCGCAGCATGGGGGGCAGCGGGTGGGGGAGGCGGAGCATGGGGGGGAGCGGGTAGCGGAGGGGGGGCATGGGGGGCATCAGGGGCGGCAGTAAACGGGTCAAGGGTGGGAGCAGGCGAAGGGCGCGCAGCAGCGGGAGGGACAGCAGGAGAGGGTTTAGGGCAGCAGCAGGGGGGCTTGCAGGGAAATTCAGCCCTGGGAATGCACGCTGGCAGCGGGTATGGCGGAAGTGCCGCTGGTGGATTGGGAGGATGGGGAGGGCCAGGTGTCTACAGCGGAGGGGGAGCAGCGGCAGGAGCAGTGGGAGCGGTAGAGGCAGGAGCGGTGGCAGCAGGGGGAGGTGGGATTGGGATCGGAATAGAGGCAGGCGGATTAGGTCGTCACTCCTTCCTCGCAGCTTCCTCCACATCCCCCCCTACCTTCACCCGCTCGCTCACCGAACCTCGCCTCTTCGCCCCCCGCCAGGCCCCCTGGCACGCACCCGCGCTCTCCCCCTTTCCCGCTTCCGCCTTCCCCCCGCCTCCCCCTTCCGCCTACTCCCCACCTCCCCCGTCCGCGTTCCCCCCGGGCTTCCCCCTGCCGTCCGCTGACCCCTTGTCCCCGCTGGGGGCGGGGGCGGAGCTGCTGTCCCCCACGCGCCCGCTGCCGGTGTGCCCGGCCAAGGGGCAGTGGGTGCGCGGCAGCCAGATCGGTGCCGGGGGCTTCGGCAGGGTGTTTCAATGCGTGAGGTGAGGTGGGTCGCATCGCATGGGAGGGGTGTTTCCATGCGTGACACCAGTTCGCTTCGTTGTGAGTGACTCCTATTCCTCTCATGCCTCTCATCCATACCAAACGCTTCTCGGCCCCACCGCGTGGCCCCCTGTGTCCCTGCCTCGCAACCCCCCCACCCCCCGTGCGCCTGCATGCCCCCCCGAGCAGCAGCATGACAGGATCGATTCAAGACCTCTCTGCTTTTCGCCCCCACCCCCACGTCCCCGCCCCGCGCCCCCCTGTGTCCCCCCGTGCAGCAGCATGACAGGAGAGGTGTTCGCAGTGAAGCAGGTGGCGCTGGATCGCTCCGATCGCTCTGAGCTGTCCCAGACCTCTCAGCTTCTCGCTCCCACCTCATTCCCCCGCCCCGCGCCCCCCTGTGCCCCCCCGTGCGCCTGCATGCCCCCCCATTGCAGCAGCATGACAGGAGAGGTGTTTGCAGTGAAGCAGGTGGCGCTGGATCGCTCCGATGCTGACTTCAGGGGCGACCACTCCATTGAGCAGCTCAAACAGGTGCGTGTGCGGGCAGATTAAATGGATGGGTCGGGCAACTTATGGTTGGGACGGTCAAACGTGTGGGCGGGCAGCTGAAACAGCTGCAAACTGAGCATGCCATAAGATGTCTCTGCAGCTCTTCATACTCTATTTGTTCTCTGCCATGTGCTGCCATGTGCTGCCATGTGCTGCCATGTGCTGCCATGTGTTGCCTTGTGCTGCCATGTGTTGCCATGTGCTGCCATGTGCTGCCATGTGTTGCCATGTGCTGCCATGTGTTGCCATGTGCTGCCATGTGTTGCCATGTGCTGCCATGTGTTGCCATGTGCTGCCATGTGCTGCCATGTGCTGCCATGTGTTGCCATGTGATGCACGGCCATCCTATTCTATGCCATCCTATTTCCTCCCATCCTTTCCCATCCCATCCCATCCCATCCCATCCCATCCCATCCCATCCCATCCCATCCCATCCCATCCCATCCCATCCCATCCCACCCCATGCCATGCCATGCCACACCATGCGATCCCTGCCATGCCATGCCATGCCATACCATGCCACACTGCACTATGCAGGAGATCATGCTGCTGAGTCGCATCAACCACCCCAACATCGTGCAATACCTCGGCTGTGAGATTGTGAGTGCTCTCCGCCGCCTCTTACCCTGTCAACCTGTCAGGGTGGGAAGGCGGGAGTGTGCGAGGGTGGGAAGTTGGGAGTGCGTATGGTTGTGAGGGTATGAGGGTGTGAGGCCGGGAGGGAGTGACGCTGGGAGTGTGTGACTGCGTGAGGTATGGGTTGTGAAATTGTGAGGTTGTGAGGGAGAGCATTCCTTCTTGCCAATGCCGCTGGCCGTTTCAGCGCATGACAAGTACCTTGAGATGGCATTGGCATTGAGTGGCAGGGCTATGCGGTCCCCGAGCCACTGCCACCAAGTATCAAGTCCTTCATCCCACCCCACTTCCCTCCCACCCCTGCAGGACGACAAGTACCTGTACATATTCCTGGAGTACGTGGAGATGGGGTCCATCCTGACGTGCTACCTGGTCCAGCCCCTGCCACCAAGCATCTGATCCCTTCACGCACTTCACCGCACCCCACCGCACCCCACCCCTGCAGGACGACAAGTACCTGTACATATTCCTGGAGTACATGGAGATGGGGTCCATTCTGAACGTGCTGAAGAAGCTACCAGTGCGCCCCCACGCGCTGCTCAGCAAGTATGTGCGCCAGGTGCTGCAGGGACTGGCGTTCCTTCACTCCATGGAGTTCGTTCATAGGTGAGAGACAGGGGGGATGGGGCAGCAGGGTGGGGAGTGTTGGGCGTGTGGGGAGGTGGGGACGTGGTGATGCGAGTGCGACTTCTGCTCAGCAAGTATGTGCGCCAGGTGCTGCAGGGCCTGGCGTTCCTTCACTCCATGGAGTTCGTTCATAGGTGAGAGACAGGGGACTCTTAGAAACGTGCACAGGTGAGCGGCATGGGCATACTCGCACACGCATACCATCCCCCATCCTCCCACCCACACCCCTATACTGTGCCTGCATGCCATCCACCCACTCACCCACTCATCCACCCGCTTAATTATCCTCGATCACCCACCCACCCATGGGGACATGCGTGCGTGCATGGCGGCAGCGACATCAAGTGCAGCAACACTCATCCTGCCTGTCATGCCATCACTCATCACTCACCCCACCCTTGCCATCACCCACCCACCCATGCATGGCATGCAGGGACATCAAGTGCAGCAACATCCTGGTGGATTGGATAGGAGCGGCACCATCAAGCATCCACCCACCCACCCATCCAACCTTTGTCCACCCACCCATCCACCCACCCATGCACTCACGGCATGCAGGGACATCAAGTGCAGCAACATCCTGGTGGATAAGAGCGGCACCATCAAGCTCGCTGACTTTGGCCTTGCCAAGCATGTGCGTGGGGGGGGGGGGGGGACCGTGAGGCGTGTGAGTGAGTGGGGGGGGGGGGGGGGGTGGTGATTGAGTGGGGGGGGGGCGTGTGTGTGAGTGGGGGGGCGTGTGTGTGAGTGGGGGGGCGTGTGAGAGAAGTTGAGGATTCTAAAAAGCCTTATTAATTTCACTTGTCACAGTGCCCTTTCCTCCATCTCACCGCTTTCCGCTCGATCCAATCTCTCCTCCCTCACCCCTCCTCCACCACTCCACCCCTCCTCCCCTGCACTCCTCCTCCCCTCCTCCCCTCCTCCCCTGCACCCTCCCTCCCCTCCTCCCCTGCACCTCTCCACCCCTCCTCCCCTGCACCCCCCCTCCCCTCCTCCTCTCGCTCCACATCACAGTACTCGGCATCGTTGGACATGACAGGCTGTCGGGGCACTGTCTGGTGGATGGCACCTGAGGTAGGTAGCTGGGGTAGGTGATACCTGGGGAAGGTGGTATCTAGGGTGTAGGTGCTATGTGGGCTAGGTATAATACACTGGATGAATCTATGTGCTGGCTGGATGACTTTGCGCTTGTCCTCTTTGATCCTCATCCCCACCACCTCACTCCCCCTACTTCCCCCCGTCCCGGTTTTCCTTCTCTTCCCCTCTCCTTCCCCACCAGGTGATCAACGCATCGGGAGGCTATGACTGGGCGGTGGACATATGGTCGCTGGGCTGCACCGTGATCATATCCCCCCAATGGAGCCCCTCCCTCTCCTAAACTCGCTCCTTTCCTCCCCCCTCCCCCCCCCACACCAGGTGATCAACGCATCGGGGGGCTATGACTGGGCGGTGGACATATGGTCGCTGGGCTGCACCGTCATTGTACCCCCCAATGCACTCCCTCCCCTCCCAAATCCCCTCCCTCCCTCACTCCACCCCCATTCTCTCACTCACCCACCCCCAACCCCCACCCAACCCACCAGGTGATCAATGCATCGGGAGGCTACGACTGGGCGGTGGACATATGGTCGCTGGGCTGCACCGTGATAGAGATGGTCACGCTCTGGCCGCCCTGGTTCCACCCCGCCTCCGGCTGCCCCATCTGGGGCCGCGGCTTCGGCCCTGTGAGTGCACATGCCCTAGCCATCATTAACCCCGCTAACCGCACAAGTGGTTCCACTGAACCCTCTGGTGCTTGCAAGTGTCCCACATGCCCCACGTGCCCCACCCGCTCTGGCCGCCCTGGTTCCACCCCGCCTCCGGCTGCCCCATCTGGGGCCGTGGCTTCGGCCCTGTGAGTGTTCTCCCTGTGCTGTTAAACCGAATACCTCGTTGCCACTGCTCCACGTGCCCCACCCGCTCTGGCCGCCCTGGTTCCACCCCGCCTCCGGCTGCCCCATCTGGGGCCGCGGCTTCGGCCCTGTGAGTGCACACGCCCTAGCTGCGCTAACCCCAAAAATGGTTCCACTGACCGCTCCATTGCCATTTTCCCATGTGCCCCACACGCCCCTCATACCCCACACGCCCCTCATACCCCACACGCCCCTCATACCCCACACGCCCCTCATACCCCACACGCCCCTCATACCCCACACGCCCCTCATACCCCACATGCCCCACATGCCCCACACGCCCCGCATGCCCCACATGCCCCACATGCCCCACATGCCCCACATGCCCCACATGCCCCACATGCCCCGCATGCCCCACATGCCCCACATGCCCCACATGCCCCACATGCCCCACATGCCCCGCATGCCCCACATGCCCCCTCCCACCACGTCTGTTGGATGACCTAGCAGTCTTCATTCATCGCCTGCTGTCTGCTCCTCTCTCCTCGCCCCCAATCGCCTGCACCTCTCTCACCCCCAGGAGACGGGTGCTTCGATGGCTGCTGCACTGGTTCAGGCTGTGGGGGCCGAGGCTGTGCCTGATGCTCCAGCTCAGGCTGGGGCTGGGGCTGTTTTTGAGGTTGAAATTGAGACTGAGTCCTCACATGGTGGCAGGGAGTCAAGGCAGATTGGCACTGGCCGTAGTGGTCTTGCTGCTGCTGCTGCTGCTGCTGCTGGTCCTGACACTGCAAGTGCTCTTGTTCCTGCTCCTGCTCCTGCTCCTTCTGCTCTTGATCAGTCATGCAATGGAGGCGGTGCATCTGAAAAAGGAGCTGGGGGCACTGGTGCTGGCAGCAGCAGCAGCAGCAGCAGCAGTAGGAGTAGGAGCAGGAGTAGCAACAGAAGCAGCAGCAGGGTTGGTGTGCAGGGAAGTGGGGGGTCTGGTTCCCTGGCCCCCTCTCTCCTTATCTCTGTGCTCCCCCACCAGCTCCAAGCCACCCCCGCTGCAGCTGCTGTCATAAACGCAGAATTGGAGGAAAGGGAGAGAGAAGGGGGGTTGAAGGAGGAGGAGGGAAGAGCTATGCAGCGAGGGCAGGGAGAGGCTGAGCAGCGAAGGCTGCTGGAGGCAGCAGCAAGGGCAGCAGCAAAGGCAGCTAGAGATTGGAGGGAGGAAGAAAATGCGCCAGCTCATGCGGTAACCGGACCTGCTGACGTGGCGCTGGATGCTGACCTGGCAGTGACGCTTTCTGACGGTGATGGGTATGGTGGCGCTGCTGAGAATGTTAAGAGAGGGGAGGAGAAGAGTGAGAAGAGCGGAGAGAATGGGTGTGCGACGGAAAGAGGGAGTGAGCGTGGTAGCGGGAGGGGGAGCAGGAGGGAGAGTGGGAGAGAGAGTGGGAGAGAGAGTGGGAGAGAGAGTGGGAGGCAGAGTGGGAGGGAGAGTGGGCGGGAGAGTGGGCGGGAGAGTGGGCGGGAGAGTGGGCGGGAGAGTGGCAGGGCGAGCAGCAGAGCAAGCAGTCGGGGGAGTGAGGGTGCTGGCAGTCCCAACGGCAAGCGAGGCAGTCCCGGCAAGCGAGGCAGTCCCGGCAAGCGAGGCAGTCCCGGCAAGCGAGGCAGTCCCGGCAAGCGAGGCAGTCCCGGCAAGCGAGGCAGTCCCGGCAAGCGAGGCAGTCCCGGCAAGCGAGGCAGTCCCCGGCAAGCGAGGCAGTCCCGGCAAGCGAGGCAGTCCCGGCAAGCGAGGCAGTCCCGGCAAGCGAGGCAGTCCCGGCAAGCGAGGCAGTCCCGGCAAGCGAGGCAGTCCCGGCAAGCGAGGCAGTCCCGGCAAGCGAGGCAGTCCCGGCAAGCGAGGCAGTCCCGGCAAGCGAGGCAGTCCCGGCAAGCGAGGCAGTCCCGGCAAGCGAGGCAGTCCCGGCAAGCGAGGCAGTCCCGGCAAGCGAGGCAGTCCCGGCAAGCGAGGCAGTCCCGGCAAGCGAGGCAGTCCCGGCAAGCGAGGCAGTCCCGGCAAGCGAGGCAGTCCCGGCAAGCGAGGCAGTCCCGGCAAGCGAGGCAGTCCCGGCAAGCGAGGCAGTCCCCGGCAAGCGAGGCAGTCCCGGCAAGCGAGGCAGTCCCGGCAAGCGAGGCAGTCCCGGCAAGCGAGGCAAGTCCCCGCAGCGAGGCAGTCCCGTCAAGCGGCAGTCCCGGCAAGCGAGGCAGTCCCGGCAAGCGAGGCAGTCCCGGCAAGCGAGGCAGTCCCGGCAAGCGAGGCAGTCCCGGCAAGCGAGGCAGTCCCGGCAAGCGAGGCAGTCCCGGCAAGCGAGGCAGTCCCGGCAAGCGAGGCAGTCCCGGCAAGCGAGGCAGTCCCGGCAAGCGAGGCAGTCCCGGCAAGCGAGGCAGTCCCGGCAAGCGAGGCAGTCCCGGCAAGCGAGGCAGTCCCGGCAAGCGAGGCAGTCCCGGCAAGCGAGGCAGTCCCGGCAAGCGAGGCAGTCCCGGCAAGCGAGGCAGTCCCGGCAAGCGAGGCAGTCCCGGCAAGCGAGGCAGTCCCGGCAAGCGAGGCAGTCCCGGCAAGCGAGGCAGTCCCGGCAAGCGAGGCAGTCCCGGCAAGCGAGGCAGTCCCGGCAAGCGAGGCAGTCCCGGCAAGCGAGGCAGTCCCGGCAAGCGAGGCAGTCCCGGCAAGCGAGGCAGTCCCGGCAAGCGAGGCAGTCCCGGCAAGCGAGGCAGTCCCGGCAAGCGAGGCAGTCCCGGCAAGCGAGGCAGTCCCGGCAAGCGAGGCAGTCCCGGCAAGCGAGGCAGTCCCGGCAAGCGAGGCAGTCCCGGCAAGCGAGGCAGTCCCGGCAAGCGAGGCAGTCCCGGCAAGCGAGGCAGTCCCGGCAAGCGAGGCAGTCCCGGCAAGCGAGGCAGTCCCGGCAAGCGAGGCAGTCCCGGCAAGCGAGGCAGTCCCGGCAAGCGAGGCAGTCCCGGCAAGCGAGGCAGTCCCGGCAAGCGAGGCAGTCCCGGCAAGCGAGGCAGTCCCGGCAAGCGAGGCAGTCCCGGCAAGCGAGGCAGTCCCGGCAAGCGAGGCAGTCCCGGCAAGCGAGGCAGTCCCGGCAAGCGAGGCAGTCCCGGCAAGCGAGGCAGTCCCGGCAAGCGAGGCAGTCCCGGCAAGCGAGGCAGTCCCGGCAAGCGAGGCAGTCCCGGCAAGCGAGGCAGTCCCGGCAAGCGAGGCAGTCCCGGCAAGCGAGGCAGTCCCGGCAAGCGAGGCAGTCCCGGCAAGCGAGGCAGTCCCGGCAAGCGAGGCAGTCCCGGCAAGCGAGGCAGTCCCGGCAAGCGAGGCAGTCCCGGCAAGCGAGGCAGTCCCGGCAAGCGAGGCAGTCCCGGCAAGCGAGGCAGTCCCGGCAAGCGAGGCAGTCCCGGCAAGCGAGGCAGTCCCGGCAAGCGAGGCAGTCCCGGCAAGCGAGGCAGTCCCGGCAAGCGAGGCAGTCCCGGCAAGCGAGGCAGTCCCGGCAAGCGAGGCAGTCCCGGCAAGCGAGGCAGTCCCGGCAAGCGAGGCAGTCCCGGCAAGCGAGGCAGTCCCGGCAAGCGAGGCAGTCCCGGCAAGCGAGGCAGTCCCGGCAAGCGAGGCAGTCCCGGCAAGCGAGGCAGTCCCGGCAAGCGAGGCAGTCCCGGCAAGCGAGGCAGTCCCGGCAAGCGAGGCAGTCCCGGCAAGCGAGGCAGTCCCGGCAAGCGAGGCAGTCCCGGCAAGCGAGGCAGTCCCGGCAAGCGAGGCAGTCCCGGCAAGCGAGGCAGTCCCGGCAAGCGAGGCAGTCCCGGCAAGCGAGGCAGTCCCGGCAAGCGAGGCAGTCCCGGCAAGCGAGGCAGTCCCGGCAAGCGAGGCAGTCCCGGCAAGCGAGGCAGTCCCGGCAAGCGAGGCAGTCCCGGCAAGCGAGGCAAGTCCCGGCAAGCGAGGCAGTCCCGGCAAGCGAGGCAGTCCCGGCAAGCGAGGCAGTCCCGGCAAGCGAGGCAGTCCCGGCAAGCGAGGCAGTCCCGGCAAGCGAGGCAGTCCCGGCAAGCGAGGCAGTCCCGGCAAGCGAGGCAGTCCCGGCAAGCGAGGCAGTCCCGGCAAGCGAGGCAGTCCCGGCAAGCGAGGCAGTCCCGGCAAGCGAGGCAGTCCCGGCAAGCGAGGCAGTCCCGGCAAGCGAGGCAGTCCCGGCAAGCGAGGCAGTCCCGGCAAGCGAGGCAGTCCCGGCAAGCGAGGCAGTCCCGGCAAGCGAGGCAGTCCCGGCAAGCGAGGCAGTCCCGGCAAGCGAGGCAGTCCCGGCAAGCGAGGCAGTCCCGGCAAGCGAGGCAGTCCCGGCAAGCGAGGCAGTCCCGGCAAGCAGAGGCAGTCCCGGCAAGCGAGGCAGTCCCGGCAAGCGAGGCAGTCCCGGCAAGCGAGGCAGTCCCGGCAAGCGAGGCAGTCCCGGCAAGCGAGGCAGTCCCGGCAAGCGAGGCAGTCCCGGCAAGCGAGGCAGTCCCGGCAAGCGAGGCAGTCCCGGCAAGCGAGGCAGTCCCGGCAAGCGAGGCAGTCCCGGCAAGCGAGGCAGTCCCGGCAAGCGAGGCAGTCCCGGCAAGCGAGGCAGTCCCGGCAAGCGAGGCAGTCCCGGCAAGCGAGGCAGTCCCGGCAAGCGAGGCAGTCCCGGCAAGCGAGGCAGTCCCGGCAAGCGAGGCAGTCCCGGCAAGCGAGGCAGTCCCGGCAAGCGAGGCAGGGCAGTCCCGGCAAGCGAGGCAGTCCCGGCAAGCGAGGCAGTCCCGGCAAGCGAGGCAGTCCCGGCAAGCGAGGCAGTCCCGGCAAGCGAGGCAGTCCCGGCAAGCGAGGCAGTCCCGGCAAGCGAGGCAGTCCCGGCAAGCGAGGCAGTCCCGGCAAGCGAGGCAGTCCCGGCAAGCGAGGCAGTCCCGGCAAGCGAGGCAGTCCCGGCAAGCGAGGCAGTCCCGGCAAGCGAGGCAGTCCCGGCAAGCGAGGCAGTCCCGGCAAGCGAGGCAGTCCCGGCAAGCGAGGCAGTCCCGGCAAGCGAGGCAGTCCCGGCAAGCGAGGCAGTCCCGGCAAGCGAGGCAGTCCCGGCAAGCGAGGCAGTCCCGGCAAGCGAGGCAGTCCCGGCAAGCGAGGCAAGCGAGGCAGTCCCGGCAAGCGAGGCAGTCCCGGCCAAGCGAGGCAGTCCCGGCAAGCGAGGCAGTCCCGGCAAGCGAGGCAGTCCGGCAAGCGAGGCTAGTCCCGGCAAGCGAGGCAGTCCCGGCAAGCGAGGCAGTCCCGGCAAGCGAGGCACAGTACCGGCAAGCCGAGGCAGTCCCGGCAAGCGAGGCAGTCCCGGCAAGGCGAAGGCAGTCCCGGCAAGCGGAGGCAGTCCCGGCAAGCGAGGCAGTCCCGGCAAGCGAGGCAGTCCCGGCAAGCGAGGCAGTCCCGGCAAGCGAGGCAGTCCCGGCAAGCGAGGCAGTCCCGGCAAGCGAGGCAGTCCCGGCAAGCGAGGCAGTCCCGGGCAAGCGAGGCAAAGTCCCGGCAAGCGAGGCAGTCCCGGCAAGCGAGGCAGTCCCGGCAAGCGAGGCAGTCCCGGCAAGCGAGGCAGTCCCGGCAAGCGAGGCAGTCCCGGCAAAGCGAGGCAGTCCCGGCAAGCGAGGCAGTCCCGGCAAGCGAGGCAGTCCAGGCAAGCGAGGCAGTCCCGGGCAAGCGAGGCAGTCCCGGCAAGCGATGCAGTCCCGGCAAGCGAGGCAGTCCCGGCAAGCGAGGCAGTCCCGGCAAGCGAGGCAGTCCCGGCAAGCGAGGCAGTCCCGGCAAGCGAGGCAGTCCCGGCAAGCGAGGCAGTCCCGGCAAGCGAGGCAGTCCCGGCAAGCGAGGCAGTCCCGGCAAGCGAGGCAGTCCCGGCAAGCGAGGCAGTCCCGGCAAGCGAGGCAGTCCCGGCAAGCGAGGCAGTCCCGGCAAGCGAGGCAGTCCCGGCAAGCGAGGCAGTCCCGGCAAGCGAGGCAGTCCCGGCAAGCGAGGCAGTCCCCGGCAAGCGAGGCAGTCCCGGCAAGCGAGGCAGTCCCGGCAAGCGAGGCAGTCCCGGCAAGCGAGGCAGTCCGGCAAGCGAGGCAGTCCCGGCAAGCGAGGCAGTCCCGGCAAGCGAGGCAGTCCCGGCAAGCGAGGCAGTCCCGGCAAGCGAGGCAGTCCCGGCAAGCGAGGCAGTCCCGGCAAGCGAGGCAGTCCCGGCAAGCGAGGCAGTCCCGGCAAGCGAGGCAGTCCCGGCAAGCCGAGGCAGTCCCGGCAAGCGAGGCAGTCCCGGCAAGCGAGGCAGTCCCGGCAAGCGAGGCAGTCCCGGCAAGCGAGGCAGTCCCGGCAAGCGAGGCAAGTCCCGGCAAGCGAGGCAGTCCCGGCAAGCGAGGCAGTCCCGGCAAGCGAGGCAGTCCGGCAAGCGAGGCAGTCCCGGCAAGCGAGCAGTCCCGGCAAGCGAGGCAGTCCCGGCAAGCGAGGCAAGTCCCGGCAAGCGAGGCAGTCCCGGCAAGCGAGGCAGTCCCGGCAAGCGAGGCAGTCCCGGCAAGCGAGGCAAGTCCCGGCAAGCGAGGCAAGTCCCGGCAAGCGAGGCAGTCCCGGCAAGCGAGGCAAGTCCCGGCAAGCGAGGCAGTCCCGGCAAGCGAGGCAGTCCCGGCAAGCGAGGCAGTCCCGGCAAGCGAGGCTAGTCCCGGCAAGCGAGGCAGTCCCGGCAAGCGAGGCAGTCCGCAAGCGAGGCAGTCCGGCAAGCGAGGCAAGTCCCGGCAAGCGAGGCAGTCCCGGCAAGCGAGGCAGTCCCGGCAAGCGAGGCAGTCCCGGCAAGCGAGGCAGTCCCGGCAAGCGAGGCAGTCCCGGCAAGCGAGGCAGTCCCGGCAAGCGAGGCAGTCCCGGCAAGCGAGGCAGTCCCGGCAAGCGAGGCAGTCCCGGCAAGCGAGGCAGTCCCGGCAAGCGAGGCAGTCCCGGCAAGCGAGGCAGTCCCGGCAAGCGAGGCAGTCCCGGCAAGCGAGGCAGTCCCGGCAAGCGAGGCAGTCCCGGCAAGCGAGGCAGTCCCGGCAAGCGAGGCAGTCCCGGCAAGCGAGGCAGTCCCGGCAAGCGAGGCAGTCCCGGCAAGCGAGGCAGTCCCGGCAAGCGAGGCAGTCCCGGCAAGCGAGGCAGTCCCGGCAAGCGAGGCAGTCCCGGCAAGCGAGGCAGTCCCGGCAAGCGAGGCAGTCCCGGCAAGCGAGGCAGTCCCGGCAAGCGAGGCAGTCCCGGCAAGCGAGGCAGTCCCGGCAAGCGAGGCAGTCCCGGCAAGCGAGGCAGTCCCGGCAAGCGAGGCAGTCCCGGCAAGCGAGGCAGTCCCGGCAAGCGAGGCAGTCCCGGCAAGCGAGGCAGTCCCGGCAATGCGAGGCAGTCCCGGCAAGCGAGGCAGTCCCGGCAAGCGAGGCAGTCCCGGCAAGCGAGGCAGTCCCGGCAAGCGAGGCAGTCCCGGCAAGCGAGGCAGTCCCGGCAAGCGAGGCAGTCCGGCAAGCGAGGCAGTCCCGGCAAGCGAGGCAGTCCCGGCAGAAGTCCGGCAAGCGAGGCAGTCCCGGCAAGCGAGGCAGTCCCGGCAAGCGAGGCAGTCCCGGCAAGCGAGGCAGTCCCGGCAAGCGAGGCAGTCCCGGCAAGCGAGGCAGTCCCGGCAAGCGAGGCAGTCCCGGCAAGCGAGGCAGTCCCGGCAAGCGAGGCAGTCCCGGCAAGCGAGGCAGTCCCGGCAAGCGAGGCAGTCCCGGCAAGCGAGGCAGTCCCGGCAAGCGAGGCAGTCCCGGCAAGCGAGGCAGTCCCGGCAAGCGAGGCAGTCCCGGCAAGCGAGGCAGTCCCGGCAAGCGAGGCAGTCCCGGCAAGCGAGGCAGTCCCGGCAAGCGAGGCAGTCCCGGCAAGCGAGGCAGTCCCGGCAAGCGAGGCAGTCCCGGCAAGCGAGGCAGTCCCGGCAAGCGAGGCAGTCCCGGCAAGCGAGGCAGTCCCGGCAAGCGAGGCAGTCCCGGCAAGCGAGGCAGTCCCGGCAAGCGAGGCAGTCCCGGCAAGCGAGGCAGTCCCGGCAAGCGAGGCAGTCCCGGCAAGCGAGGCAGTCCCGGCAAGCGAGGCAGTCCCGGCAAGCGAGGCAGTCCCGGCAAGCGAGGCAGTCCCGGCAAGCGAGGCAGTCCCGGCAAGCGAGGCAGTCCCGGCAAGCGAGGCAGTCCCGGCAAGCGAGGCAGTCCCGGCAAGCGAGGCAGTCCCGGCAAGCGAGGCAGTCCCGGCAAGCGAGGCAGTCCCGGCAAGCGAGGCAGTCCCGGCAAGCGAGGCAGTCCCGGCAAGCGAGGCAGTCCCGGCAAGCGAGGCAGTCCCGGCAAGCGAGGCAGTCCCGGCAAGCGAGGCAGTCCCGGCAAGCGAGGCAGTCCCGGCAAGCGAGGCAGTCCCGGCAAGCGAGGCAGTCCCGGCAAGCGAGGCAGTCCCGGCAAGCGAGGCAGTCCCGGCAAGCGAGGCAGTCCCGGCAAGCGAGGCAGTCCCGGCAAGCGAGGCAGTCCCGGCAAGCGAGGCAGTCCCGGCAAGCGAGGCAGTCCCGGCAAGCGAGGCAGTCCCGGCAAGCGAGGCAGTCCCGGCAAGCGAGGCAGTCCCGGCAAGCGAGGCAGTCCCGGCAAGCGAGGCAGTCCCGGCAAGCGAGGCAGTCCCGGCAAGCGAGGCAGTCCCGGCAAGCGAGGCAGTCCCGGCAAGCGAGGCAGTCCCGGCAAGCGAGGCAGTCCCGGCAAGCGAGGCAGTCCCGGCAAGCGAGGCAGTCCCGGCAAGCGAGGCAGTCCCGGCAAGCGAGGCAGTCCCGGCAAGCGAGGCAGTCCCGGCAAGCGAGGCAGTCCCGGCAAGCGAGGCAGTCCCGGCAAGCGAGGCAGTCCCGGCAAGCGAGGCAGTCCCGGCAAGCGAGGCAGTCCCGGCAAGCGAGGCAGTCCCGGCAAGCGAGGCAGTCCCGGCAAGCGAGGCAGTCCCGGCAAGCGAGGCAGTCCCGGCAAGCGAGGCAGTCCCGGCAAGCGAGGCAGTCCCGGCAAGCGAGGCAGTCCCGGCAAGCGAGGCAGGTCAACACGGAAGGAAAGTCTATTCGAGAAGGCAGATCATGTGGGGAAGGCAAGCCGTCTGGGGAAGGCAGGTGGCGCTTTCCCCTCTTTGGCAGGTCCACCAGCTGGACCGGGGCAGGGCGGCGGGATGGGGGGGTGGGGGGAGGACAGAGGGATGGGGCGGCAGGGGCAGGGCGGAATGGTAATGAAGTGGATGCAGCAGGAGAGAGGGATGGAGGAGGGGAGATGCGGAGGTGGACGAAGGGCAGTGTTAGGGAAGGGGTAGGGGGGGATGGAGGGATGGAAGAAAGCGGCAAAGACAGTGGCTGGGGAGGAGGTTCGGAGAGGGGTGGAGGAGGGATGGAGGAGGCTGAGTGTGCGCCTGGCAGTGCCTCTGCTGCCCCTCCCTCATCTCCCCGCCAATCTACTTCCCCCTCCGCTCCCTCCCCCTCCGCTCCATCCCCCGTGGTTGCACTTGCACCCCCTCCTGCTCTCTCCCCCTTTGATTCCCCCTTTCCTGCCTCTCACCCACTCACTCTCACCCCTGCAAACCCTCTCACTCTCACCCCTGCAAACTCTCTCTCGCTCACCCCTGCAAACCCTCTCACTCCTGCCAACCCACTCTTGAGTAACAGTCCCGCCCACCGCCGCTCCTCCTCTCTCATCTCCCTCCCGGCACCCACCAGCAGAGGCATGGGCCCCATTGTACCTCACCCCACCGCCGGTCGTCAGCCAACTCAGATTGGAAGGGATGCACACATTTCAAGGCGGGATGCTGCTGCCCCACCAGCCCCTCCATCAGCTGCCGCACCAGCCCCTCCTGCCCTTGGTGGGAACTCCCTTGCGAGTGCGGGGCGGGCAGGCAACAACCCACATTCCAGGGCAGGGCAAGGCTGGTTGGAGGAAGGGGAAGGGCAAGGGGCCGAGAGGCGGGGGTGGTCGGGTGGTGAGCAGGAGAGGGGAGGAAGGGAGCGGAAGTCATCATCGCTGTGGGAAAAGTTCCAGGAGATGAAGGTGGGGGGAGGGGTGGCAATTGAGGCGCCTCGAAATGCGACTATTGAGGCGCCTCGAATGGCGACTATTGAGGCGCCTCGAATGGCGACTATTGAGGCGCCTCGAAAGGCGACCATTGAGGTGCCTCGCGAGCAGGAGGGAGAGAGGGAGCGGGAAGCGGTATCCCGGTGGGAGAAGTTCCAGGAGATGAAGGTGGGGGGGGTGCCCAGTGGGGAAGGAAGAGGGGATGCAGAGAAGCGAGGAGAAGAAGCGAGAGCGGGAGGTGTGGAGAGACAGCAGCTGGAGGGGAGGACAGTTGTGTTACAGTTAAGCAGTGTGTTGCAGCAAACGAGGGACTCAGCTGAACCAAGGACAAACATCCCATTAGGGGTGGAGCAGGAGGGAGGATCAGCTGCGTCAGCAGCAGAAGGGGTGGAGTTGGGGGAGTTGGGGGAGTTAGAGGAGCTGCTGGGGCCACCGAGCATTGTGGTGCCGCAGAGAAAGATTCTCAAACACTTCGTGCCGCTGCCTGTTGCTGCTACTGCCCCTCTGCACCCATCCGCTGCCCCTCTGCACCCATCTGCTGCACCACCACCTGCTTCCGCCACTCCTGCTACTACTGCCACCGCTCAACACTCCTCCTCCGCCTCTCCTGAGACGCTCTCCTCGCAACATTCCCTCTCCCATCCCTTCCGCTTCGTCTCTCCCCCCACGTCCCTGCCGCCCCGTTCTCCTGCTTTCTCCATCCTTCCAGAAACCACCACAGCCCCCACTGCTTCCCTCTCGCTCTCTCACTCGTCCTCATCCCCATCTTCCCCCTTTCCCCCTTTCCCTGGTCCCCCCACCAACCGCTCTGTCTCTCTGACTGCTGCGGCCTCTACTCATCCCTCCCCCCCTTTACCTGGTTCCTCATTTCCTCACTCGCCTCAACAGCCCTGGGCTGCTACTGCCCCCACTAAACCCTCAATTCCTCACTTGCTCCAGCAGGATCAAGCGCTCTTTCTGAAAACCGCTGTTGAGGCGGCACATTCCTCCCAACCGCCACCATCAGCAGCATCAGTAGGTCCCTTGTTGGCAGGAGGAGCAAGGGCACCGGTTGCCATTCCGCCACCATCTTTCACCCCGTCTCCGCCGCCCCCTTTCCCCTCGCCACCCCACTCCACTGCACCACTGTTTGCATCAGCTGCCCCCATCCCAGTTCCACAGCTCTCCAGTCCACCTCCCACCTTCACACCTCCTACCATCCCCCACCTTCACCGGTTGCCAGTCCCCACTACCGCTCCCCTGCAATCTGATCCCCTGCAATCTACTCACCTTCAACCTACGCCCCTGCCACCTACGCCTTTTCAGTCGACCCCCCTGCAGTCCACTATCGTGCAATCTGCTCCCCTTGAAGCTGCAACCAGAATCCCAGACACGCACAGCAGCGCGCTTGCATGCAGCAGCACTGGTGAGTCGGTGAGTGAGGGGCCTGGTGGGAGTGGGGAGGGGCGGGCGAGTGGTAAGGGTGGGGAGGAGGGCGAGCAGCAGTACTACCAGCGGAGCAGGCAGAGGAGGCGGAGGAGGAGCAGACAGGTGTCTGTTTCACCTGTGCGGGAGAGCAGTGGTGGGATATCTGAGCAGACCCAGCAGCAGCAGAGTCAGCAGCAGCAGGCTCAGCAGCAGCAGAATCAGCAGTGGCAGCTCCAGCAGCAGCAGCAGCAGCAGCAGCAGCAGCAGCAGCAGCAGCAGCAGCAGCAGCAGCAGCAGCAGGTTCAGTGGGAGCAGATGCAGCAGATGCAGCAGGCATGGCTGCAGCAGCAGGCAGCCGTGATGCAACAGTGGATGGCGCAGCAGCAGCAGATGATGCACCTGTTGCTGCAAGCGCAAACGCAGCAGCAGCAGCCGCAGCAGCAGCACCAGTGGCAACAGCAGCAGCAGCAGCAGCAGCAACAGCAGCAGCAACTGCAGCACCAGCAGCAATGGCAGCAGCAGCAACAACAGCAATGGCAGCAGCAGCAGCAGCAGAAGCAGCAGGAACAGCAACAGCAACAGCAGCAGCAGCAGCAGCAGCAGCAGCAGCAGCAGCAGCAGCAGCAGCAGCAGCAGCAGCAGCAGCAGCAGCAGCAGCAGCAGCAGCAGCAGCAGCAGCAGCAGCAGCAGCAGCAGGAGGAACAGCTACAGCAGCAGCAACAGCAACAGCAGCAGCAACAGCAGCAGCAGCAGCAGCAGCAGCAGCAGCAGCAGACGGAGTCGAGAAGGCTGCAGATGGAGCAGCCGGAAATGCAACCGGTGCAGACACGGGAAGTTCAGACTGAAGAGCAGATGGGGAGGGGAGAGCAGCAGGCGGATACCATGAAGGGGATTGTGGGCCCGGAGATGAAACAGGTTCAAGAGGCGACGCCTGAGGCAGTGCTGCAGATGATGCAGGTGTGGTCACAGCAGCAACAGGCCGTGCAGCAGCAACAGGCCGTGCAGCAGCAACTTGAGCAGCTGGTGAAGCAGCCTCGGCAGGAGCCACAGTCGTTACAGCAGGTGCCGCAGCAGCAGGAGCTTCCAGAGCAGCAGCCATGGATGCAACAGCAGAAGCAGCAGCAGGATCAGCTAACACAGCAGCAGAGACAGCAGCAGCAGCAGCAGCAGCAGCTGGAGCAGAGACAGCAGCAGCTGGAGCCGACGCCAGTTGTACATCAAGAGCAGCAGGGAGTGGAAGTTCCCATATCCAATGCCAGAGAGTCAAAGGCGTCAGCTTCACAGCGCAATAACCAGGCGCAGACAGCAAGAGCAGGTCCCGAGGTTCCGGCAATGTCTCCCGTACACTCCAGTGGGGGCGACGTAGGCAAGAGAGCCCTCTTGAAGGTTTTTTCGAACAGTGAGGTACAGTCGCCAAGGAATCTCTGGAACCGGTTTAAGCAGCAAAGGGAGAATATCCAGAGGCATGAAGAGGAGGAGGCTCGATATGTGGAAGCATCTTCTTCCATGAGCACTGCTGGGCGTGAAATGTTGTCGTCGACTTCCTTTCCGGACATCAGTTTCAAAGACCGTGATTTTCCAGCTTCTGCAGAAGGGGAGATTCTTGAAAAAACCAACGTTCCCTCCGTTGTTCAACGTGTCACGGGAATCTGATGGTGGTACGACAGCCTTCTTGGACGTGGGGAATACTGCCAGTAACAACAGCAGTGGTTGACATATTGATTACATTGATTTTACATTGGTTAACAACAGCAGTGGTTATTGTTGTGTTTAATGTCGTTATTGAGTTCATCGAAGTTCTGTATCTTGGCGATGGCAAGATGCTTCGAGAACTGTTGCTTCTCCGAAGCCCAGATGCTCAAACCTAACCGCCACGCCAAGCCTTCTGCCATCCGCGCCACATTTCGTTCCGCGCATTCACAGATCGAGGCTGGCGGGATGCGGTCAGCCCCACATTCGAAGGTGTTATCCGCGCCTCCGCACCATACCCAATCCCTTCGCTTCGGCAGCTTGCGCAGCTGACCTCCTCTGTCCTCGAGCTTGACGCACCCTTGGCGGGAAACCCTTGCCTCGGGTTTTTGCGCTTTGGGGGGTTTGCCTTGGGCTTTTGGCTGCCAGTGGGGGATTTTCCTGCCCGCAAATATATGCACTGGGACTTACTTGCTCAACTGTATGTTCTATCTCTGGTGCTTTTTGGGCTGTGGAGCAACCCGTGTGATCCTGAACAAATCTCAAAATATTTGTTCGCAACCATCCAACCATCCACACTCCGACTGTTCGCAAGCACGACCCCCTGCTCCACAGCTTCCTGCCAGCAATTTGCGGATTCGTCCTTAGAACGGCTCCTATATTTACCCTTGTAAGGACTGCAATTCCAGGCCTGCAGCAGCCGTTCTAACACATAGGTAGTCCGTGCTCGAGCCCTTCCGTCTCGCGTCGTTGCGACTCGCATGCGTCCTCGATAGTAGACCGTCGGAGCTTGGCAATGCAACCTAGCGAGCATGATTGGTGGCGGGACTGCTTCACACGTGGCAATTCCGGCCTTTTCCTCCGAGTCGTGTTTATAATCGCCCTGCTTCTCTTCGCCTCCAGCCGGGTTGCAAACTCCAGCAACCTCAAAGAATCTCACAATAAGGAACCTAAGGAATCAGCTTATAGTCCCAAGCTTAGTCCGAGCCACCGCAGTTCTGAAAAAGCGGTGTCGTTCGTCGATTCTAAGGACACGCGCGGAATAACCGCTGATCCTTCCACGTCAGACGGACCTGTCGGCACCATTGTTCCCTCGCAATCGACACTTCTTCCGAGGTCCAATATTTTCCACCAAAAACACCCGGCTGCTTCTCGTAATGCGTTCATTTTTCGTTTGCAGTTCCGTGCCCAGCGTATTCACGTAAACTCCTGTAACGTTGAGAGCAGTCGTACTCAGTTCTCACTCAGTTCGCTTCTTGGAATATATTGTTTCTTCTCAACCTCTTTCCCAATCCCAATCCCTCTCCTATCCTTATCCCTATTACCCCCTCGCTTCGAGTCCCAGTCCCAAGAACATTTTCTATTCCCAATGTTTGTTCCCAATCACTATACCTCCCGACCCATACCAGACCATCCTCCTCGTCGAATGTTCTAATCACGCTATTAGACGGCTCGATAAGAGCCGTGGACTCGCGAACCGGCGAGGTGAAATGGACATTCGCGTCCGGTCAGCCGCTTGTCTCAGCCGCAGGACCAGCGCAGGGAGCAGGAGCGGAAGGGGGACTGGCGGAAGGGAGGCTGGCGGAAGGTGTAGGGGGAAGGGGAGCGGAAGAGAGTGCGCCGGGGGGGAAGGCTAGGCATGGGGCGGCGGAAAGATGGGGCGGGGGAGATGAGATGGACTGGGACTACGAGGAGGATGAGGATGAGGAGGGAGAGGAGGAGTGGGGATGGGGGGGAGTGGGGAGCGGAAGGGAGAATGGTGCGCGTGGCAGTGGGGGTGGCGGGAGTGGGAAGAGTGGAGGGAAGACGGAGGTGGGAAAGGGACGGGGGAGAGGCGGGGGCATGGAGATGGTTATTCCGGGTGTGAATGGGCGCCTGTACTCGTACAGGGAAGGGCTCGGCTTGCAGGTACGTACGTGGATTCCGTTCCACAGGCATTGTCTTGCTTCCTTCACGCCTGTTGGGTATGTCGTGCCACCCCTCTCCTCCCCTCGTTCTACTCCACACAATGGAAACTGCTTCCCACTCCCGTCCCCACACAACGTCCCCCTGCCCCCTCCTCGTCTTACCTACCTCCCACAATGTCCTGCCAACAGCCTCCCCTCTCTTTTCCGTATCTCCTTCTCCCCCCCTTTTCGCCAGGAGCTGCCGATAACAGCCAAAGAGCTCGTGTCCGCCTCGCCTTCAGTCACCCGCGACGGCGCCACCGTGATCGTTGGATCGCAGAAATCAACGGCCTTCCTGCTCGACCCAGTCACAGGCGCCGTGCTGCGCTCTTTCGACCCGCTCGCTCCTCCGGGCGGCGGCGGCTTGTCCTTTTCTGCGACAAGTAATGATGGGAACGAGCAGGCGGACGGCCCACTGGCGGAGTGCCTGAAAATGGCAGAAGAGGAGGGCGGCGAAGGCATGGAGGTAGATGGAGGAGTTGGGTTCCTGGAAGGTTCCAGGAGCAGTGAAAGGGACGGAGCAGCAGACGTGCAGCAGCAGAAAAATAAAAACGAGTGTGATCGCTTGCTCTCGTCGTCCCTGCTGGTGCTCCGAACCGACTATGTGGTTCGGGCGGTGGAGCTCAGGTCCGGCAAGCAGCGGTGGAACGTCAGCTTCGGCGAGCTGAGCCCCGTGAATGGAGCTCTGCTGGGCCTAGCGGGAGGCGTGGGGGGGGGCGTGGGGGGCGGAGCACCAATTGGGGGAGTCTTGGGGGGAGCGCTAGGGGCAGGAAGGGGAGGTGGAGGGGGGAAATCAGGGATGGATCTTACGGGTAGAGGCGTGTTTGATGGTCATGGGAGCGGGGTGCCTAACGCTGCTGCTGCTTCATTGGCAGTGGCTAAACGACAACTCTTGCCATCCAGCGTTTCTGGAGAAGATTCGGAGTCGGATATTGATCTGGGGATTGGGGCGGGGGGACAAGGACAGGGGGATAGGGACGAAATTGGAGGTCCAGGGTTGGCAGGATTCAATACAGGGTTAACTGCTGCAGCTACCACGAGTATAGACCCATCGGAAGAGGGTAATTCCGACATCTACTCCATCCAGCTGACCAACGCCCAGACAGGCCAGCAGGCATGGCAGACGACTTTTTCATCTGCCCCGCTCGCAGCGTTCACGCCCTCGGGCAGACTCGTGCAGGAATTCGTGGCGCGCGATTCGTCCAAGGACACGGGGCCCGGGCAGGTGCTGTATGTGGGGCGAGTGGCAGGCAGCCCGTTCGCCCTCGTCACTCCCAGCGCCACTGACACACCCACCGCCGCTCTCCCCCTCCTCCCGGCCTCGCCCCACTCCCCCTCTGATGGCCTGCCTGCTGGCATGTCTGCAGGCATGTCGGCTGGTGGAGGGGTGGGGGGTGGTGGTGCGGTGGTGGGTAGGACGGGCAAGTTCACAGTCACTGAGCCGCCCAGGATTGCAGGGACGCGAGGAGCTGGAGGTGCTGCTGGGGAAGCTGGTGATGGGAATGCCGGTGGCGGTAGGGGCAGGGGTAGGAGTAGGTTTGGCACGGCTGGTGCAGGTGGCAGTGGTGGGGTCGGCAGTGGTGGGGGTGGCAGTGGGGACGATTCGCTGTACCCCATAGTGGTGAGGGCACCGGGGGCAGCAGCTGCTCTGTACGACGCCATGGGGTGCGCTGACGCCCCTGCTGTGCATGGGGGCGCTGACTTGGGGGGTGGTGACTATGGGGCGCAGAGCCCCTGGAACAACCATCAGGGACGCTCAGAGAAGCAGCCGGAGTTGAACAGGAATCAACAGCAGCAGCAGCAGCAGCAGCGGCAGCAGCGGCAGCAGCAGCAGCAGCAGCAGCAGTACAGTATGCAGCAGCAGCGAGCGCCAAGCCCAGTGGCAGCACACAGCGACAGGAGCAGCAGCAGCGCGGATGGGGAGGACTTGCTGGGGTGGACCGGCATGATCAGCCTGTGGGGGCGCGGCACTGGCGCCGGCGACACTATTGGGGTTGCTAATAACGCGGATATGGAGTTGGGTGCAGGCAGAGGGGAGAAGAACCGGCGTCTTGGGCCTCCTAAGGACATGGAGCCTGCTGTGGGGCCCCAGGCCCCGCCCACCCCGCCGAACCTCATGACCTCGTTCGGGATCCTCGCTGCCGCAGCTGCCACCCTGGCTGGGATAGTCGCCGGTGCTTCGGTATTCTCTTACTCCTCCTCCTCCCCAGCCCCGTCTTCTTCCTCTGCTGCTGCTGCTGCTGCTGCATCTGGCCGGGGTGGCACGCCTGTAAGGAATCAGAGGCTTAAGTCGCAGCAGAGGCAGGGTTCCTCCTCTCACCCTCCCAGGCATGCTTTACACATGAATGGTGCGCCCAGTGGCAGAGGAACGTATAGAGGAGGGGCTACTAACGAGGATGGGCTGTCGTGGGTGGCACGGGGGGTGGTCGCGCTGCTGCCGGCTTCCTTGCAAGAGTGGGCGGCTGAGGGGCTGGGGGGGGGCGGCAGTGGTAATAGCAGCAGCAGTAGAAAACGAGGCAAGCAGGGGGCGGGTAGGAGGAACAAGAATCTGGAAGGAGCGGCAGTAGCCGAAGCAGCAGCAGGGGGGGCGGAGGGAGAGCCACTGGGTAAACAGCAGGACGACCTGGCCAATGGGATCGTGCCACCTGGACTGGACGGCACAGGGGATCCAGGCAGGGAGGATTCGGGGCAGGGCGAATCTGCGGGAGGGAGGCTGAGCAGACTACTGGGGAGTGTGGGCAAGCTGGGCAGTGGCAGTGGCAGCAGGCAGAGCAGCACAGGGAAGCTGGTCTCCCGACGAGGCAGCCGCGACAATGAAGGGCCGGGGGAGGGCGCGGGCGGGGGTGGGGCTGACACCGGCACAGCAGGCGAGGAGGAGAGCGAGGAGGATGCGGAGGAGCGGGAGGAGGGGCGGTGGGTGGGGCGGCTGTTTGTGTCCCGGCGGGTGATCGGGCACGGGAGCCACGGGACTCTGGTGCTGGAGGGGCGGCTGGAGGGGCGGCAGGTGGCGGTGAAGCGGCTGCTGTCGCAGTTCTACGAGCGGGCGAGGCAGGAGATTGCTGCACTGATAGCCACGGACGAGCATCCCAATGTGGTGCGGTGCTTTGCCATGGAGGAGGACGAGTCGTTTGTGTATGTGGCGCTGGAGCGGTGTGCGTTTAATCTTGCGGATCTTGTTCTCGCGTGCCGGGCTAGCCTCGCTGCGGCTATGGCACCACCACCTGCTGCCGCTGCTGCTGCTTCTGGTTCAGGTGCTGCTGCTGGTGATGCTGCGGCTGCGGGGCCTGTCTCTTCTCCCTCCTCCGCCTTGTCCTCCGCCAACAAGCCTCCCGCCAGCCCCTTCCAAACCTCCTCCACATCAACCACCAACACCACCTCCTCCTCCGCCTCCTCCACCTCCTCCTCTCACTCCTCCTCCTCCTCGCTCCCTCCCTCCGACCCGCCTCTCCACCTCAAAACCCCCTCGCTCTCGCTCCGCCTCTCCCCGTCCTCCTCCGCCGAGCGGGAAATTATATCAGCAGCACTGGAGCGGGTACAGGCCTACTGCACCTCACAGGGCGTGGGGGTGCAAGGACTGTGCCTGTGGGACGACAAGGGCCAGCCGACACAGCAGCTGGTGGGGCTGTTGAGGGATGTCGCAAGCGGGCTTGCTTATCTGCATGACCAGAGGATTGTGCACCGGGACTTAAAGCCCCACAATGTGCTCATCTCGCTGCTGCTGCCCAGCCGGCACCGGCAGCGCGGGCAGTCGCAGGCTAGGGTGAGTGCGGGAGTGGTTAGTGGGAGTAGGGGTGGGTTGGGGGTGGGTGAGGAGTTTGGGTCTCCTGCTGTTCTGTCAACATCTGGAGGAGATGCAGGGGCAGGAGGGTCAGCAGCAGCAGCTGGATCAACATCAGGATTAGCAGCAGCAGGAGGATCAGCAGCAGCAGCAACAGCAGCAGCAACGCCGGACACTGCAGCCCCCTCCCTCACCGCTACAGCTGCAGCAATCACAGCATCAGCCGCGTCTGCCTCTGCCGCAGCAGCAGCCCTGGCTCGGGCCATACCTCTCCTGGAGGTCCGGATGCGGGGCAAGCTGTCAGACATGGGGATCAGCAAGAGGCTCGGCGACGGAGCAAGCTCGTTCGACACGATGACAGCAGGCTCGGGCAGCAGCGGGTGGCAGGCACCGGAGCAGCTAGAAGACGGGTCAAGGCTGACGAAATCGGTGGACATGTTTTCGTTCGGGTGCCTGGTGTTCTTCTGTGTGAGCGGCGGCAGCCACCCGTTTGGGGAGTGGTTTGAGCGCGATGCGAACGTGGTGGCGGGGAGGGCAGACCTGTTCCCCATCGATCACGTGCCGGAGGCGCTGGATCTAGTGGCTGCTCTGCTTGACAGAGACCCTGAAAAAAGGTGTGTGACGGGTAGACTAGGAGGTTGAATTTTAATCTGCCAAAGAAACTACCAAGTAGCGGCAGGGAGGGCGGACCTGTTCCCAACGATCACGTGCCTGAGGCGCTGGATCTAGTGGCTGCTCTGCTTGACAGAGACCCTGAGAAGAGGTGTGGGATGGGTAGAAGGGAAGGGAATGCGATGTCCTCTAGGCAGCTTACATTGACGCGCCTGCTGCTTCCGCGGCCCCTAAGTCTTAGGCACCTCGAACGTAGGCCCTGTGGGTGCCTCAGAAGTAGACCCTGAGAAGCGGTGTGTGTGGAATGGCGGGGGAAGGATTCAAGGTCAGGAAACGTAAGGGCGAGGGTGTGTCTGTGCTGACTTGCTGCACGGCCCTGGCACGTCATCCAGTCCCCCCTCTCTTGAGGCTCAAGTGTCTATTCCCCCAGCCCAGCCCCAACCCCCTTCTCCCACATTCCATGCCAGGCTACCCAGGCATAAGGAGCAGACACTCCCCCTCGTCTGACCCACAAGTTGGGAGTCGCTTTGAAGAATTTTCAAACATTGTCACATTCCCCCCCCCCTTTCCCACTGTCCATCCCAGGCCGTCAGCGCACGAAGTGCAGAGGCATCCCTTCTCGCTGGGCAGTACTAGGGCTGATTTCAAGAACCCCCAAACGCAATCCCATCCCCTTCCCCCCTTCCCACCATCCATCTCCAGGCCCCCAGCGCACGAGGTGCAGAGGCACCCCTTCTTCTGGCCAGCAGAGCAGCGGCTGGCCTTCCTGCGAGACGCCAGCGACCGCGTGGAGGGGGAGGACCGCGAGGCCCACTCGCCCCTCTTGAATGCCCTAGAGGCAGCAGCGCCCAGGGCTATAGCTCGCAAGGGGGGGATTAGCAGGGCGCCTGGGGAGAAGGGTGGCGGGTGGAACGAGCGTGTGGACGGGGCGCTGCTGGGGAATCTGGGGAAGTACAGGCGGTATAACTTTCACAGTGTGAGGGATCTGCTAAGGGTGATACGGAACAAGTGTAATCATTACCGGGAACTGCCGCCCGAGCTGCAGGTGAGGAGGAGAGGGAGAGATTACGCATGCCTGTTTTTCATTCCCGCGGGTGCGGATCAAGTTTTGTTCCCGTCGCCTTTGCTGTTGCATCTGAATCTTTTGGTGCGTGGTCCGTCGTTGTCCTCTTGTCGACCATTCATTGTTCTGCTGTGTACCTTGTTGTTTCTCTCCTTTTTCATGCAGGAGCTTCTGGGTCCGCTTCCTGATGGGTTTGAGAGGTATTTTCGAGATCGGTTCCCGCACCTCTTATTGGAAGTCTACCATGTGTTGCTGCAGCACTGCGCCCACGACCCCATATTCACAAAATACTTCTCTCCAATAATTCATTAATAAGATAATAAGACACTAGCATTAAACTTGCACACCCATGTATCTTGTGTGTGTGCAAGCCCTGAGCCCCTAACTAGGTTGGCTTCACCTTGTGAGATACTGCAGGCAAAGCCTACTTTTCGCACGTCAGCGAGCCATCTTATGTGGAACCACTTTTCGATCTTCAGTTATGATGCCACGTGTTTCGTTCTGGTCCGCACTCATCCCCATTCTGCTCCACAAATGTCCGAATTCACGGGAAAAGGTGGGTTCTTCGCATTTGGCGCTGGTTTGCTGTCGCAGCCGATTTCGTAGCGAATAGCGCATCTCGCAAACCGTTCATCAGTTCGTTCACTTTAACGTGGTAACCCGCTTTACATGCATTGCTGCTGTTTGTCATACCAATGAATTCCGTTCCAACATTTCTAGTTTCTGAAGCTACCAGATTCGAAATTGCCATGGCAGCAGCGCTTGCCTCGCCTCTCGCGTCTCGCATCGTTGCCATCAGCCGAAGCTGTCGTCTATCCAGCGGCACTACCGCATTCAACGGCGTGCGACAACTGATCTTGTGAGCCTGCTTTTACTGCCGTTTACTGCCTTTTTTCCCAGTAAATTCAACTGGTTGTTACCCTTTTTCACCTTCGCGAAACTGACGAGCTCATGATCCCCTCGTCTTGTTCTCTTCCAGGAGAAACTCTCACTCCCTCGAGCGCGCTAACCACGCGTCGTCGTCTCTCCCTGTTGTTCGACGGGCGTCTCGATCGCGAGTGGTCATGGCGTCAGCGTCAGCGGCGGAGGGGGGATCAGCGGCCGCGGCGAGTAGCGAGGAGCTGGCGGAGTTCGTGTCGCGCGACAACCGTCGCATGCTGCACGTCGTCTATCGCGTGGGCGATCTGGACGCCGCTATCAAGTGCGTCGCTCAGTCGTCCACCGTCGCACAGGCGGGAAACCGCGTGGTCGAGATAGCACGCGGCGTGGTGGTGTTGTCTTGGTGCTGCGTTGCATGCTGCACGCACCCGTGGCTTGAAGTCTCACGCCCTACGATGTGCCGGGTGCTGTGGTTCACCGGGTGCTTTCATACCGAATGCTCTGCATGACACCCCTCTGACATCCCTCTGACACCCCTCTGACACCCATCTGACATCCATTGGACACCCCTCTGACATCCCAGTCTCTGACACCCCTCTGACACCCATCTGACATCCATCTGACACCCCTCTGACATCCCTCTGCCCTGTCTGTGACCCCCCTGGTGGGTGGCGGCGAGCAGGTTCTACACGGAGTGTCTGGGCATGAAGCTGCTGAGGCAGCGCGACATTCCCGAGGAGAAGTACTCCAACGCATTTCTGGGCTACGGCCCTGAGACCTCCACGTTTGTCGTGGAGCTCACTCACAGTGAGTAGCGAGGTGGCTTATAACGAGTACGGGGCTCACCTTTGGCAGCGCGACATTCCCGAGGAGAAGTACTCCAACGCATTCCTGGGCTACGGCCCTGAGACCTCCACGTTCGTCGTGGAGCTCACACACAGTGAGTACCGAACGTGCTATCATGCCCCCTGCACTGCACAGCACAGCACAGCACAGCACAGCACAGCACAGCACAGCACAGCACAGCACAGCACAGCAGTGCTGGCAATTGCTCAAAGGGTCACTGAGATACCCTCCAAGCGGTTCTCCACGCCCCCTTCTTGTCACGCCCCTTTCTCGTCACGCCCCCCTCTTAATTACGCCCACTTGCTCTATTACTCTGGCATGGCGGCAGACTGTGTTGTGAACTCAAAGCTCCCCGCCCTGGCTTCCACCATGCCGTGCTGCCCGTGGCCGTGCCGTGCTACCAGACTATGGCGTGGACTCGTACGACATTGGAGCGGGCTTTGGCCACTTCGGCATCTCTGTTGATGATGTGAGTGCCACGTGTGAGCCATGTGCCATGCTGATGTGGGCCACGTGCCATGTGCCATGCTGATGTGAGTGCCACGTGTGAGCCACGTGCCATGCTGATGTGAGCCACGTGCCATGCTGATGTGAGCCACGTGTCATGCTGCTGTGGGCCACGTGCCATGTGCCATGCTGATGTGAGCCACGTGCCATGCTTATGTGAGCCAGGCAGTTGATCACAACCAATCACTAATTTCTGCTTACTTACGACATTTCAGATTTCGACCATGGACTGGTGATGCCTGTTTGCAATGCAGCCAGTGCACTGGCTGGGATAAGCCAAGGCACCTGAAGCCAGCGATTCCCTCCCACAGTTGATGGGAACTTGGGAGCACTCATTCAGACGAATATTTCCTGTATGGCATGCCACCTCCCCCGCAGGTGTACAAGACGGTGGAGGTGGTGAAGTCGCGGGGTGGTGTTTTAGTGGCCTAGAGATTCCTCTCTCTACCCCCTCCCTCCCCGTCCCCGCCGTCCCCCCCGTCCCCCGCAGGTGTACAAGACGGTGGAGGTGGTGAAGTCGCGCGGCGGCAAGGTGACTCGCGAGGCTGGCCCTGTGAAGGGCGGACAGAGCGTCATCGCTTTCGTTGAGGTGCGCTCCGCTCCCTGCTGTCATGCTGTCATGCTGTCATGCTGCTCTCATGGCGTGATGGGGTAATGGTGTGGACCCATTGTGCTGTGATGGCATAATGGCGTGATTGGCATGGTGCTGTGATGCAAAAGTGCCATGCTGCCGTGCCATGTGTGTTAAAGCTTCTCAGGACGCCATGCCATGAAGCATGCAATGTGTGCTGTGGCTGGTGTGTGTCATTTCCTGTTCATCCTCACTTCCCCTCTGTTTAGTCTTCTCCCTCCTCTCTGCTCTCTCATCCCTCGCTTGTGCCTCCCCTGCCTTTCCACTGCCCTCTGCCCTCTGTCCATCCCCTTCTCGTCCTCCTCCCACATCTCCCGAACCACAGGACCCGGCTGGGTACAAGTGGGAGATTATTCAGCGGCCACCTACTCCCGAGCCACTGTGCCAGGTTCGGATGGCCTGCCCAAAGCTGCTCGTGCATCTCGCCATGCTACAGCTCAGAAGTGTTCATGCTTTATGTGTCAGCTATCCATTATACTCCATGCCTCCACGTCACCATGCCTCATGCCTCCATCTCTCCAACTCCCCATCTCTCCATGTCACCATGCCTCCATGGCACCATGCAGGTCATGCTGCGAGTGGGAGATCTCGACAGGGCAATCAAGTTCTATGAGAAGGTGCTCACACCCACCTGCCCTCCTATCGCGTCCCTCCCATGCCTGCCGTCCCTCCCATGCATGCCGTCACACACCCCGCCACCTGCACCTGCCCTGCACTTGCATCAAAGCCTCCTCTCTTTTTGCTCATAATCACAATCCAATCCCCTCTCGCTCTGCATGCACATTAATCACACGCATGCCTGCTTACAGGCATATGGCATGAAGCTGCTAAGGACAAGGGACAACCCACAGTACAAGGTACCCACACACACACTCCTTTTCCCCCGGCTGCTCCAATCAGGCAAACCAATCTTGTTTAGGGTATCAAATATTGTTTCACGCATGCTGAACCTTCCCTTCCCGCTGCTGCACCTTTCCTCTCTTCTGCTGCCCCTCCTTCACCGCTCCTCCTACACCTTAGCACACCCCCCTTTGTTGCTCTGCGAACCCATGTCTGTTGTTTGCCTCACACAGCAGTACACAATAGCCATGGTGGGGTATGGCCCCGAGGCGGAAAGTGCAGTGGTGGAGCTCACATACAACTGCTCCCCACCCTCCCTCTCCACAATCCCCCCACCTTGTTGCTGTGTCAACCCGTCTTTGTCGTGCCCCGTCCCGTCCCCTCCCCAGTACACGATAGCCATGGTGGGGTATGGCCCAGAGGCGGAGAGTGCAGTGGTGGAGCTCACATACAACTATGGCGTTGAGTCGTATGAGAAAGGCAACGCTTACGCACAGGTACCGTTCAGCACGAGCCAAAGTGCTTCTGCAGCTACTGTGTGTCTTTCAGGTGTCGTTCAGGTGCTGCTCTCTGCTGATCTGCATACCATGTGCTTCCCTCGGTGCCCTTTTCCTTCCCGATGCCCCTGACCCGTGGTGCCTCCTTCGCCCCGTTCTCAACTGTGTACTGACTCCTTTTCCTGCTCCCTTCTTCAATCGTCCCTCGTCCCTCTTATCCTCTTTTCCACCCCCTCTCACCCGTGCTATCTGTGCTGCTATCCGGCTCTCCTCCAGATCGCAATAGGAACGGACGATGTGTATAAGACAGCAGAGGCCATTCGGGCGGCGGGTGGGACCATCACACGCGAGCCGGGCCCCATTCCCGGCATCAACACCAAAATCGTGGCGTGCCTCGACCCGGATGGGTACAAAACGGTGAGAATGGTTGGGCATTGTGCAGCAATTTTTGTGGAATGTAATGAATTCGAATACGAGTATTGTATCAGCTGCTTACACTACATGGCCGCTGTAACGCTGTTACCGTACGTTGCGTGCAGGTGTTTGTTGACAACCAGGACTTCCTTCGTGAGCTGGAGTGAAAGCTGCAGTGCTGCCAGCATTGCTGCCATATGCAGCAAAGCCTAAGAAACACAGGATGTGTATAATGTTAGATGAGTGGGATATATTGCCTCAATAGCTCTTTTCTATTATTGCTTTGGTGAAGGGGAAATCAATTCCAGCATTTGTCAGTTACGTTACGTGAGAAGATTTCGCATTGAGCGCAAGCGTGCAGCGACGGGTAACCAGGCGCCACTGGCTCCGCCGGAATTTACCTTATCCTGCGTAGATCCCCCCACTCCCTCTGGGAAATCTCGCTAGCTGGAATGGACAGGTCTCATCGAAGCGCCTTCAAGCACTCATCATGCCTCGTATCGCGCCACGTCACCACTGCCTGACACCCGAATCACCAACGGGTACGACGAAAGGGGAGGGAAGCAACGATTTGAACACACGATCCGCTTTCGTGGCCCGGGTGACAACGGAGGGAGATTTGGATGCCCCGAAGGGGGACCCCGACAGCCGCCTACGCGACGGCATGGCGGCAGAACGGCTGGCGCGAGACGCAAAACCGGGGGGCACCCAACATAGGCCTCGCCTCGCCTTATTCTCGTACACCGACGCTTCGATTCTTCGCCGTCATAGTTCGAGGAATAGGAAATGGCAGAGCAAGGAGGACGAAGCGGCGGGGGGGATGGTGGGGGAGGCGGCGGAGAGGGAGGGGCGCATGACCGGCACGCGGAGGTGGAGGCGGAGGCGGAAGCGTGCGAGCGGCCGTTCGAGCAGCCGCAGTCGTGGTTGCACCGGCGCGGCAAGGGCGAGTGGAACTCGGGGCTAAAGGACTTCCCTCGGGATCCCCGCGCCGCCGCGCTCGGGTGCTGCGCGCCGTGCTACCTCTTCGCGCAGACGGCGCGCAAGATCACCGACGGCCGCGTGCAGTTCTCCAGGCGAGTCGCCTCCTCCTCCTCCTCCGCACTACACGGGCCCCTGAATATCGTTTTCCTTTCCTGACTGTCCGTTTCAGGCCAATGAATGCGCCACAGAAGGACCCAGTCCTCGCTGCTCCCCTCACCGCCCCTCACCGCCCGTCACCACCCATCATCTCCCTTCACCTCCCTCGCCTCCCCGTCCGCAGGGCATTCGCCACGTACTGCCTGGTGGGCGGGTGTTGGGGCGTGCCTCTCTCGTTCATCCTGGGCCCCTGGGCGTACTGGCTCACGTGTGTGCCGTGCTACGCCTCGCCTCGTCCCTTGCTCCCCTCTCCCTTCCCTTCGTCCACAGAGCATTTGCGACCTACTGCCTAGTAGGGGGTTGTTGGGGCGTGCCTCTCTCGTTCATTCTCGGCCCCTTCGCCTACTGGCTCACATGCGTGCCGTGCTATGCGGAGTCCATTCGCCGCCAGCTGCGCCAGAAGAAGGGGCTGCACGAACGACCCATGGATGACTTTGCCGCCCACTGCTGCTGCCACCCTTGCGCGCTTTGTCAGGTAGTGCTGCTGCCACCCGTGTGCTGGTTGCGAGGTAGTGCTGCCACGTGTGCTGTGTTTCTTGGAAGTGTATCCAGCGGTGCTTCACCTGCGCGCGCACCTATGCCTCTCTTTGCATGTGTGCATGCCAAAACCCACCAACTACCATGCACACGACCATGAACACGACCATGCACTCCATGACCAAACATGATGACATGGAGGGCACACACACCATGCGCCAACGTATCTATGTGTCTGCATTCTCATGTGCCCTCCTGAGCATCAAGCCATGTGTCTGTGTCACACCCGCCACCAACCATCATGCCCATGCAGGAGTATCGGGAGAGCCGCGAGTTTGACTTGGAGCTGGTGCCAGGGCCCACGCACCTACCGTATGTGCCTATATGCTTATGCAACCTTATGTGCCTGCTCCGTCACTCCCACCAACCAACCATCACAAACACGCCACACCCACACGCCAGGAGTACCGGGAGACGCGACTTTGACTTGGAGCTCGTGGCAGTGCCTACACACCTATGAGCCAAAAAGCTTATGTAACCTTATGTGCCTGCTCCGTCACCCCCACCAACCATCACAAACACGCCACACCCGCACGCCAGGAGTACAGGGAGAGCCGCGAGTTTAACTTGGAGCTGGTGGCGGGGCCCACACACCTATATGCATATGTACTCATGTGCCCTCATTCCCACCAACCATCATGATCACGCCACACCCACCAACCATGGTGGACCCGCAGGAGTACAGGGAGAGCCGCGAGTTTGACTTGGAGCTCGTGGCAGGGCCCACACACCCCACTGTGGACCGACCACCCCCGGAAACAGCCAGGCACCTGGAGCACCTGCAGGAGACGCAGCAGATGGAGCGGTGATGCGTGTGGTGTGCTGCAGACAGCACCTTTGGAAACCAGAGTTGACTCAACACGGGAGACTTTTGCGTTGAGTCAAGAATTAGCGTAGGGTGGAGACAGAAGACCGGTGTCGCAGAGGGAGATGTGATGAGTGGAGGAGGGTTGCAGACAGCACAGATACAGCAGGCACAGACGACGTTCGAAGTCAGAAGTTACTGGAGGGTGCAGACACGAGATGCAGCAGAGCAGTTGGATACGTGATTGCAGCTTTGAGGCGTGTACAGACTTGGAATTGGGGTGCATGACTGTTGCAATACCTTTTCCCTCATTCTTTCCTGCTCGATTGAGATTAGCTGATGGGTTGCAAGTGACACGTATTAATTAAAGTAATGACAGCTGAATGTGCTGCATTTGCAAAAGCAGTCAACTCTATTCTAGCTTCCAATTGAAGGTTCAATCCATTTTTTCCTAAAACTAGACCATGGCTGGCACACAGTGTGAGATGAGAACGAATATAATAGCACTAAATTCATTTCTACTGGAATGCCAACCCCCCCAACCACGAATTATCTACATCTCCTCGATCAGCTGCTTGATGGATGCGATGGGTAGCAAGCCCTCAGTACGGACGGCAAGCTTTGACTTATCCTTGCTCACAAACACCACTGTGGGCAGCCCACGAATCTGATGAGAGATGGTGTGGGGGGTCATACATGGGAGGGATGGATGTCGTGAGTAAGGGGGACAGGCGCGGAGGGTTAGGAATTGGAGAGGAAGGGTGCAACGGAAGGGATGCAGAGAGCACAGCAGTCTGGGGCGGCGATCGGCATGGAGCTGCACATGCTTGTGTGGGGTGAGGATGCATGTTTTGTGAGTGTGTGTGTATGTGCGTGCGTGTGTGTGTGTGTGTGTGTGTGTCTGTGTTAATGCGTGCGTGCGTGCGTGCATGTGTGTGTGTGCGTGTGTGTGTGTGTGTGTGTGTGTGTGCAGACGCCCATGCGAGTGCGTGCAGGAGCGAGTGTATGTGCGCAGGGGTGTGCAGGTGTGCAGATGCGAGTGTGTATGTGTGAGCGAGGGAGCGAGTGTGCGAGTGAACGAGTGTGTGTGAGTGCGCAAGCACGGCAGCACACCTCGAGTTGGTTGGCGAGCTCGTACTCCTCGTCCGTGTGGTGTGTGCACACGCAGGAGCGTGCGTATGTGATTGAGGGAGTCAGCAAGTGTGAGTGCGCGGGCACAGACACGCACCTCGAGTTGGTTGGCGAGCTCGTACTCCTCGTCCGTGTCCACCTTGAGAAACAGCACCTCCCCGTGGTACTCCACTGCTAGCTGTGGGCGGGCCGTGCATAGGAGTATGGGGCACAGCGCAGAAGGGGGGTGAGGGGAGAGGGGTATGAGGGATCTGCACCTCGCCATGGTACTCCACCGCTAGCTGCGGGGCGACAAGCATGGGGGCACGGGCGCATGGAGACATGGAGGGTATGGGGGGCAAGAGGGGCATGACGAGTATGGGGGACACGAGGAGCATGGGGGGCATGAGTAGTATGGGGGGCATGAGTCGTATGGGGGGCATGAGTCGTATGGGGGGCATGAGTCGTATGGGGGGCATGAGTCGTATGGGGGGCATGAGTCGTATGGGGGGCATGAGTCGTATGGGGGGCATGAGTCGTATGGGGGACACGAGGGGCATGGGGGGCAGGAGTCGGGTCAAGAGGCTCACCTGCTCCAGCTCTTGCGCGAGGAGGATGCAGGGGCCACACCACGTGGCGTAGAAGTCGACAATTGAGTCGACTCAAAGCGGCGCACCACTACTTTTGAGGTGCCTTAGAAACGCACCTGCTCCAGCTCTTGCGCGAGGAGGATGCAGGGGCCGCACCACGTGGCGTAGAAGTCGATCACCATGGGCAGCGGCCGATCGCCCGACAGCAGCGCGTCCAGCTCCTTCCCGTTCACCTTGCGCTGCCCGCGGGGAGATGGTGGACGAGGTACGGGGGATGAGGGACGGGGGACGGGAATTGAGTGGACTTTTAATGATTTAATTTCCGGTTAAATTATTTTTTCTTGTTCTGGTTTTGTTTTCGGCTATAGTTTTCGTATAATAAATATGCGTAAACCCCACGTCCCGTCGTACCACGAGGTTGCATTGAACGGAGAACGCTGATTGGCTGCTCGCCCCCGCTCTCGACGACTTGCCCCTGAAGCTGTCCGATCGCAGACCCCGAATGCCGCGTGCGCGAAGCGGATGCGACAACGCTGCCGTCGCATGCCGTCGCACGTGAGCTGGATCGCGCGATACAGCCGCAGCGGCACGTGATGTCGCGAGACCGCTGATCGCGGGAGTTACGGCAACAGCCGACGCCATGGAACGACACTACTGCTCTCAGCCGTCACGAGGTCTCGAGGCGAGCGGCTCAGGCGACTAGGAGAACGCGGTGCGGAAGAAAAGCAGACGGATTTGGGCGTGATCACGGACGGATGTAGCGATACCACGCAGACGTTTATTCACGAGGTGAGTGAAGGCGGCAGGCGGCGGAACAGCTGCACTGCAGTGCAGACGGAAGTGGGATGATCGCTAAGTCAGGGACGCGTGGATCGGAGCGGAGTAGGGGAAGAATGCGACGGAATCAGAATGCTTTTCAACTAGAATGGACTGGGCTGGGGTGATGGGGGATGGCAGCATTGCCGGCGAGGCAAAAAACCTGGGATTCCGCTAACAAGAGGAACTACTGTACGTGTATCCGAACGAACCGAACCTCACCTTTCCTTTTTCAGGGCCGTGGGTGGAGACGAGTGAGGAAAACCGAAATTTGCTTGAAAACGACCGCAGTGGAAAGGTTGCGAGTCACCACTACCAGACTTGACACAGAGCACACTCACAGCAACTGAGACGGGGGCGCGAAACTAACTCAAAAGTCCGGACCCGACAAGAGGTTGAACACAGTTTATTCACAATTCTACTATGCTCGAGTAAGCTGTAGTAAGGTGCAGAGTGGTTACTGTTCGGACTCTGGATTACACGCCCAAAGTAGTGGTACCCACTCAATCACGAAACACGTTAGATGCTGCAGTTCTGCAACTTGGACAGAATCCAAGAACCGAATTGAAAACAAAACTCAGAGACTTTTCGGCCGAAAGGGTATTCACCCTGGTAGCGAAGGCCACGGAAAGGACGCGGAGATATTCGCGGGCGCCACGTAAAGCACGCGGGAAACGTGGAGATCTCTAAGCCTCCTGCATCTTTCCGATATGCTGGGCATCGCATTGTACAGAAAAAGTGCTAACTTGCTCGCAATAATTGAACTTAGGCTAATGCATATTGACAACGTAAGATGGATATGGATGGACTAAACTTTGTTCTTGATGAGCTACTGTCAATCTATGAAGTAGACGAAACATATTATACAGCATGACTGCTCAAATCAACCTTTCTTGTGCGGCTATTGATAGCCTTTGTCAATTAGATGCCTTTCAATCGCCTGCTGAGCCAGCTCTCTAAATTTCTCATCCCCCGGGCACTCCCTGCAGCACATGGTATAGAGTATGCATGGTGGAATAAGTTTGCATGGTAGCATGTGTTTCCAATGTCGGATGAATTTGCATGGTAAATCGAGTGTGCATGGGACAAAGAGTGCGTAGTAAAACTTTGCATGGCCATCTCCACCACACCCCCGTCGCCATTCCAATGCCCATCCCAAATCTCCCACTGCCCAGACTCCAACTGAGCCATCACCCATGCCTTACCGGTTGAGGTCGAAGGACTCGAGAGCGCGCTCCATGCTTGTGTCCGCCACCTGCTGCAGCTGCGTTTTGAGTCGACTCAAAAATCTCCCCACCCCCATCCCCATCCCCATCCCCAATCCCACCCACCCCCAACCGCCCCACCACCCGCACTGACCGGCTGAGGTCGAAGGACTCGCGGGCACGCTCCAAACTGGGATCAGCCACCTGCTGCAGCTGCGCTTTGAGGCGATTCAGAACTCATCTCCCCACCCCCATCCCCATTCCCATCTCCAATCCCACCCCCAACCGCCCCACCTCCCGCACTCACCGGTTGAGGTCGAAGGACTCGCGGGCGCGCTCCATGCTGGTATCAGCCACTTGCTGCAGCTGCGCTTTGAGGCGACTCAAAACTCATCTCCCCATCCCCATCCCCAACCTCCCACTGCCCAATCACTGCACTGACCGGTTGAGGTCGAAGGACTCGCGGGCGCGCTCCATACTGGTATCAGCCACCTGCTGCAGCTGCCGCGACGTGAAGTGGTACCTCGCTGCCACCTCCTTGAGAAACGTTATGTCCATCAGGAACTGCAGGGGAGGGGCGAGGAGGGGGGAGGGGGAAGGGAGGGGGCAATGGCGTGGGGAGAGTAGGCAGTTGGGGCGTGTGGAGTGGAGTGTGGCCTGGCCAGGAGTTCTCCTTGCAAGCGATTGTGACAACGAGGGTGGGAAAGGGTGCAATGCAATTGACGAGATCTGGTGAATACATCAGGTGGCAACACATCACATCACAAAGTCCCTAAAAAGTCTTGTTAAAAAGAATTGGTTGGGCTCATGAGTTCAAGGGTGAGGCTGGGAGAGCGGAGGGGAGACGGGCGGAGGGGATTGGTGAAGGCAGGTGATCATGGGGAGGGAGAGCAGATGAAAGAACGGCACAGGGAAGTCGGTGGGACAGCTCAGAGTTGAACCGAGAGGAGCCGCAGCGAGCAAGGACGCCCACTTTGCTGCAGGATTGGGCCACACGCTGAAAGCCAGTGGGTTAATAGTGATACTGCAAGAGCATTGCTCTTGACGCATCTCAAACATACACCCACCTGTTGCAGCCCGGTGGGCCCAACGAAGAATTGGCTGTCCTCCCAGGCCTTGTCATGGCACACGAGCGTGAGCAGCGCCAGCCCGTACTGCGTGAGCAGCTGCAACCCACTGTGTGAGCAGCGCCCGTATTGCATGAGGTATCCCAACCACCCACCTGCTGCATCTCCCCTACCCACCTGCTGCATCTCCCCTACCCACCTGCTGCATCTCCCCTACCCACCTGCTGCAGCCCGGTAGGCCCGACAAAGTTGTGACTGTCCTCCCAGGCCTTGTCATGGCACACGAGTGTGAGCAGCGCCAGCCCGTACTGTGTGAGCAGCTGCAGCACCATGCGGTCCCGCCCTGGCAACACCTCTGAGGCCGCGTCCGAGACGGCGAGAGTGGTGAAGAGGAAGTTCTGACCGGGAGAGATGGGGTGATTGAAGGGGGGAATGGCATAGAAACTTGATTGAAAGGTGAGGGGTGGCATGGCAGGGAGCTGCACCACCACCAGACGGTCCTGCCCCGCCAGGCCAGCACCTGTGAGGCAGCATTGGAGATGGCGAGCGTGGCGTGGTGAAGAGAAGAGGAGGTTCTGGACGCGCGTGGGGAGGGGAATGCATAGGAAACAGCATGTGAGAAGGCGCGTGGGAAGGCGTGTGAGAGGGCATGTGAGAGGCATGTGAGAAGGCATGTGAGAAGGCAGGTGGGAGGGCAGGTGGGAGGGCAGGTGGGAGGGCAGGTGGGAGGGCAGGTGAGAGGGCAGGTGGGAGGGCAGGTGAGAGGGCAGGTGAGAGGGCAGGTGAGAGGGCAGGTGGGAGGGCAGGTGGGAGAGCAGATGGGAGAGCAGGTGGGAGAGCAGGTGGGAGAGCAGGTGGGAGAGCATTGCAAGGAGCTGACCTTGAGTGCTTCGGATGGTTGGGCGTCGTTGAACCACATGGACGCATCTGACTCCACCTGATGGCGCACGGTGAGTTGGAGTTCACACATTGGGGAGCGGAAATGGGATAGGAATTTTGAGTTGACTAAAAAATCGGATGGTTGGGCGTCATTGAACCACATCGACGCATCTGACTCCACCTGATGGCATGGGGTGTTCTGTTGTTCACGCGATGAGGAGGACAAATGGGATAGGAAACACGGGTGGAGAAGGAGAAACGAGGAACACGTGACACACAACATGGGCAGAGAGCTGCCTTCTGCGTCAGCTTCCCTTCGTACTCACTATCAATCCCAATCACCTTCTCACCTTCCCTCTCTATCACCCTCGCCCTTTTCCTCCCAAATCACCCTCGCACCCTCCCTCCCTATGACCCACGATCACCACCCCACACCGGCCCACCTGGTCCATGAGGAAGTAGAGGTTGGGCAGGAGCGCGTCATCCATGCAGGCATCTGGATACAGCAGCTCCGTGGCCTTCTGCAGGCAGAACCCATCCTCAGATTCTCCACGCCCTCACAAAATCATTCACAGTCACCCTCTCTCCCAGTCACCCGCAGGCAGCACATCCGCCCACCCACCCACCTGGTCCATGAGGAAGTAAAGATTAGGTAGCAGCGCATCATCCATGCACGCATCAGGGTACAGCAGCTCAGTGGCCTTCTGCAGGCAGAACCCCATCCCATCCTCATTCCCAAGCACCCTCCCTCCCTACCACCCCCACCTGGTCCATGAGGAAGTAAAGATTGGGAAGCAATGCGTCATCCATGCATGCATCGGGGTACAGCAGCTCAGTGGCCTTCTGCAGGCAGAACCCCATCCGCAGATTCTCCACGCCCTCGCTCAGCTGCTTTTTCCACGCCAGCAGCTGCTGCCGCTTCGCCTCCCCGCCTGAACTACTCCTCTGCTCCACGCCCATTCAGAGTTACCTCCCTCCCACCCAGTCACCCGCAGGCAGCACACCCGCCCACCCACCCACCTGGTCCATGAGGAAGTAGAGGTTGGGCAGCAGCGCATCATCCATGCAGGCATCCGCACTCCCAAGCACCCTCCCTCCCAGTCATTGCTGCATCACACCCGCACACCATCCCCCCCACCTGGTCCATGAGGAAGTAGAGGTTGGGCAGCAGCGCATCATCCATGCATGCATCGGGGTACAGCAGCTCAGTGGCCTTCTGCAGGCAGAACCCCATCCCATCCTCATTCCCAAGCACCCTCCCTCCCTACCACCCCCACCTGGTCCATGAGGAAGTAGAGATTGGGTAGCAATGCGTCATCCATGCAGGCATCCGGGTACAGCAGCTCAGTGGCCTTCTGCAGGCAGAACCCCATCCCATCCTCATTCCCAAGCACCCTCCCTCCCTACCACCCCCACCTGGTCCATGAGGAAGTAGAGATTGGGTAGCAATGCGTCATCCATGCAGGCATCCGGGTACAGCAGCTCAGTGGCCTTCTGCAGGCAGAACCCCATCCTCAGATTCTCCACCCCTTCACTAAGCTGCTTTTTCCACGCCAGCAGCTGCTGCCGCTTCGCCTCCCCGCCCGAACTCCTCCTCTGCTCTCTACTCGCCCGCTGCCCCGCCACCGGCTGCGTCAGCCTCGCCGCCAGCCTCGGGAGCTCATCTGCTAGAGTC